TGAAGCTGGCTTGCAGACTGCAGCAGCTGGAAGTCCCATGTCAGGGAGCTAGCTTGAATTAGTCTGTACTGAAGTACATATGGATATATGTTACATGCAAAAATTATATTCAGGTGAAAAAAAAATGGAATTTTCTTCCCGATTTATTGCTTTTGGCCTTTACTGCATTTTACTGTCTCTGTTAACAGACTTGAGTCTTTTTAAAGAATAATATGCCAGTGGAATACTTATTGCTTCAGTTCCTTCTGTAACCACTTTGCAAAAGAATGTGGACTTTGGATCAATTTTTCTGGGGCTTTGGGTTATAATTCACCATCTTTTTGCCATAAATAATTTTAATCTTTGAATATCAAGTTATGAATTAATACCATTGTTCAGTTACTTCTTCCTAATTTAAGACAATAATAATTTTGGAAATATTTTTTAGAAACGTACATGATGCTACTTAACCTAATTTTGGAATGTTTGTTAACTTCTCTGTCTCACAGTCTATGGTGAAAGACAAAAAAAAGGAAAGAAAGCCTTCATCAGACGAAGAGACTGAGAGTGAAAGTAACAGTGGTAGTGAGAGCGAAAGTGAGGAGGAAGCTTCTAAGCCTCGGAGGTCACGGAAGCAAGTAGACTCTGATTCAGATTCTGATGAAGAAAATGATATAAATGCTGTGATGAAATGTTTACCTGAAAATTCAGCTCCTTTAATTGAATTTGCAAATGTCTCCCAAGGCATATTATTACTTTTGATGCTGAAACAGCATTTAAAGAACCTTTGTGGATTCTCTGATAGGTAAGGATATTTAGATAATAGGACATCTTGTTATCTAGTGAGTCCATTGTAAAGATTAAGTTTGGAAGGGTTTTTTTATAGTTGATTGTTAATAATTGTATAAGCAATAGATTTCTATAAGAAGAAAAATATAAATGTAATAGATTGAATGTAATGAAATAGCTTAGAAAAAGCAATGATTTAATTTCTTACCAGGATGTCTATTGTATACAGAATGATTAACATATAACTTCTTACATTGAAGATTTTAAAAGCTTTCCCTTGGAATTGCTTTGGACTTTCCTTAAAAGCTCTTCCCTTTTATGTTCTTTAAACAGTAAAATTCAAAAATACTCTCCATCTGAATCTGCAAAAGTTTATGATAAAGCGATAAACAGAAAGACAGGAGTTCATTTCCATCCAAAACAAACTCTGGATTTTCTGCGGAGTAATATGGCTAATTCCAAGATCACTGAAGAAGTGAAGAGGAGTATAGTAAAACAGTACTTAGATGTAAGTAAATTTACTTTGCAGAAAATTTGAAATCCTTTCAAACCAATTAACACAGTATAAATTTGAAAGTAGATGCTGATGTATTGGATGAACATTTCAAAATGTTAAGTTCCTTGTAATCTTATGTGGTATACTGATAACTCACCATTTCCTTTCAGGATGTTTAGCAGCATTATCTTTCAAACTCTTCTAATAAATTTAAACACAATAAAAGTTTATTTCAATTAAAGGATATTCATATTTTCTAATTTCTGGAAACCATCTTGTATACCTCTACCATATAATATGTTTAATATGTTCACTTTATCTCTGACTGTTTCCATCATAGGAACAGAGACTAGATCTAGTGTATTTACCTTTTATTTCTTCCTTCCTTCCTCCCTTTTCCCAGTTCTTTAAAATATTAACTAGATAAAACTTATAATTTTGGAAACACAGGAAGAAAGCTTTTACATATCTACTAGAAAATGAAAATAAAAATTTTCTAGAAAAAAGCACAAGCTGTTGAATTTTGAAGCTGTCATTTGTTTTACCCTGTTTCATTATCTTTTCGTATGTTTTTTATTTAATGTAGTGTGATATGAATGTCTGTTTAGACATTAGAATATGGAGTGATCTGTTTGGGGTTTTTTTAATAGTTCAAACTCCTTATGGAACATTTGGATCCTG